TCTCTCTCTCTCTCTCTCTCTCTCTCTCTCTCTCTCTCTCTCTCTCTCTTTCTCTGTCATTTAATAAATACAAATTAAACCGGTGACACAGAATTTCTGTAGCTAGCCTGAGCTGTCATTCGTCGCAACGCGAATTAACACCGCGTTTCGTATTGTCGACGACAAATTTTCAGCGACACGCATCTCTCTGACAAATCACACGCAACGTTTAATCACGAAAATGTTCAATTATGAGATTGAATTATTATTCTCGTATTTTCCGTGTCCGCGATAATCGAATGTCGTTATATATTTCATTATAATTTCACGTGACTCCAAAATAAGCTCTCGAGAGGTACGTCGGTCCGATGGATCGCGAATTCAGTCTGTGAAGAAAGCTGGAAACGGAATTCCAGCTAAAATTCTAGTAGGTATTTTTTCTCATAAAGGAGAAATGTTTGTTTGGAAGATAACTAACCCGTTCAGAAGTTTCCATTGTAAACGGTTCGTTCGCGATGAAATAAATCCTAGCATAAGGCGCGCTCGATACAGTTCGCGAATGGAATAATGCCAACAAATCAGTTTTATATTTGATCGAGGATTGATATTGTCGCGCGAATCGTGTTTTATCTAATGCCTTCGCGGTAAAAAATTCGCTCACACGTAGTGTGAGTCACGATTGCCGTGTATAGCTCTCCTGAGAAACCCGGTTATCACGACTTCTAAACGAAGGGCAAGTGTATTCCGGGATTTGTTCAGCGATTAAATTTTTTTCTCGTCTCAGCGCTACCTAATCGTGCTGCCGTACGCAGAAGTGTAAATAGATCACCTACCTGTCATTATCTGGTAAGAATAAAAACGTAAAGCCGTAACCCAGACAAACGCTTCGACGAAAAGAAGGAGAAAAAGAAGAAAACACAAGTTTAAAATTAACTCTCATATGATGCATAATTTATTAGTACTTCAAGTGATTGGAGTTTAACGGCACAAAAAACTTTAATCATGTATAATGTAGCTAGTAATAAATGAGCTACTTATATAAGACTTTTTTACATATTATATTTAAAACTTTTACCATGTTGGGTACTTACTGTGGCTATATTGGGTCATGACATCACAAGCAAAAAGTAAACGCTAAAAATTTCTGCGCGTCACTATCAAATAAAAAAATTTGAATTTGTCAATAAATTAACGTGACAAATTTATGACAAAATGTAGATTAAGAAAAAAGGTTAAAAAAACTCTTTTACAGTGTACAAATATGTATATATTTCACGTATGTATATTAATATATTAGTAAAATATTAATGTGCCCGCAGTGAGTATATATATATTTTCTATTTTTATTTATATATTTTCTCACTCTCAGTATACCAATGTCTCGGGAAATAGTTTAAATTTCTTGATTTCGGGAATTTTCGGGAAATTGCCCAACATTTCGATATTCTTTTTTTCTCGAGCACGCAGAAAATACCTATCCTCCGTCAAAAATATCAGAAGTGTAAAAAGAAAAGTAGCGGAAGTAGCGATAAATATGTAGATTCGAGAAATTATTTGAGGATTACAAAAAGGAGCAAAGGACAATAAAAGAAAACTCTGCCTTCAAAATATAATATCCAAATTTATTGCTGTCGAAAAGAAACCGCTGCTCTTCATAGGACAGACACGCGAGCAGCCTTATCCAACGTCAAACTTACGCAAGTTACAATACGTTGTTAAAAAAAACGTAAACGAAGGTGGAAAACCTCTCGAAAAACATAGAGGCACTACAACGAAGTTGATGCTGCGTATAGGCACTGGCGGAAAAATTGAGAGGAAATTATGTATACGTGTTGATAATAATTATGGAATGATCCTCAATAAGCGATAAGGAAAGCGGATTAGTTTTACAAGTAACGAAGAGCTTACGGATGAGGTCGCGTTAAGTTCTACACGCTGGAACTCGCGGGAGTGCGTGTTTCGATGCATGATAACCCAGTAATAATTGACGCAGACGTGCATCTGGAAATAATAAATCTGCGGATTTCGTGGATCCGTCGATTTCAACATTTCTGAATCGATGGATATGCATTGTCCCAAAAAATGTACCGAAATTTAAAAAGCAGGCACACATATCATTTTCTGAAAAATCATAATATCGAAACAATCTCTCAAAATACGATTTTATCGAAATGTTGGAACTGTCTAATTGTACACACAGTTAGATGCATCAGTATCTGCTCATTTGAATACGACAAGAGTACTCTTAGATAGGGTCAGATATTAGCAGCCCTGCACGGGATTGCTATTGTATCAATGGAATTAGTCAACAGCAGCATAATTGGAGTATATCTTCATGATCCAAAAGCAATATCATTGCGATTAATATATTGTTTTAATAATTTGAGTATTAGTTTCAATAATATTGCTGTTAATCCAAAAGATTTTCTTACAGAGCTTTTGAACAATTCTATTGATTCTTTCTGTGTATGTGTACTGTTTTCGACGTAATAATTCCTCTTCGGAATAATTATATACTTCAGAAAAATTTCGAGATATTGTGCCAATATTCGGACTTCAATATTGTGACTTTTCGAGAAATTATTCGAGATCTCGATATTTTTCGGGATAACGCGTGTCCAATATACGTTCTTCGATTCTCGAGTGACGTGAAATTGAATTGTCTACAACAACCGGTTGATTTGCCAGCAATATCATTAATATCACGTGGATGATCAGTTTCAGATAGGACAAAAGAAAAGAACAAAAATACCTATTCGTCGCACTTTGTGTGAGATTGAGATGCCACGATTGCATTTAAGAAATGAAAAAGGCACGATGATCGTCGCGACGAAGTGATGATCGATGAGCGAAGAGAATCGAGAAATTATTAAGTACCTACCGTACTGAATATTGTGCTCTTAACAATCGTAATAATTGCGTGACGGGCTCTCAAAAGACCCATCATAACGCTGTGGACGCCTCTCGCTCCGCGCTCTTGATTATTCAATGTACAATTTGAACTCGAATTAACGGACTGCCAAGTCTCTAAACGTTAAACGCGCGCCACAGAAACGCAAACAATTATCGCGTCGTCCGGAAAATTATCGCGTAACTAAAATTCGCGCAACGTGAAAATAATACATCTCTACCAAGAAATACAATCGAGCGTCCGCACTTTATACGTGGTAACATTTTCCTTCTTCAAATTGCATGAAATCCCCAAAAGCCAAATGAATTCACACGAATGCGCGACTATTGCTAAAGTAATAGTGAAGTGTTGGGCATTAATTGATTAAAATTTTAGTTGACTGAAATAACGAATGAATCAATCGTCATATTGTGAGGGAAATTATCCGATAAAAAACTAAATTAAAAAATTTACAAACGAATATTAATGCCATTATGATCAGAAGTATCCGACTAAATTTAATTAGATGTATAAATTGATCAGAATTTGATTGGAAATATCGTTTTTTAATTTTTTACCAGATAATCCCTCTCAGTATAATCACACATAATTTAATTGATTGATTAGTAATAAATCAGAGTTTAATTAATAATTAATTTCATCAATCGATTAAATTGTGATTATATAAAGGAAAGCGTCCAATAATCGATATTCATTACAACGCTTGCCACTTTCCGGCACTTTTGCTCGAATTTTACTAACTTCTTTTATGTATAGAGATTTATTAATTATTCATAAATTATTATTCATTATATATTTTCTTTAAACCGTTATTCAACTTAATATTTGATAATATCCACGCCATAAAAGTGCCAAAAAAGGCAGAGTGCCAAACGTTCTTCTCTGTATGACGATTATTGATTTGGCGATTATTATTTTATTTAATCAACAAAAGTTTTAATCGACTGATATCTAACACTGTTTTGCGATCTGAATGACGATCTGAATCGATACGATCTGAATCGATACGATGGACATTCCGGTTGATACGATCAACCGGTTACACTGAAGCCGCTAAATACACGGAATCGGCGAGTGCGGAGAACCGCGGAAAATACTCTAAGTCAACTCACTCGCTTATCAGCATGTGATAACATTGGCGCATATGCGGCGACGCGGCCGGCACGCGCGCAATGCCCATTAAAAGGTCGAGTCAACACATCCTTAATAAAAACGCGCTGAGAGTGCGGTTGCTGGCTTACCTTAGGTTAAAACGAGCTACCAGTAAAAATCGTGCGAGAGGTGAGAGCTTGCTCGCTTTTTAGTGTAGTTCCTCTGAAAGGGATCGCAGATGACGGACGTATTTCTTGGATCTCACTTTCTCGGCTCTCCTGCGATTGAGCTGGATTTATCGAGATTGAGTTTGGAGCGTTCACTCTCCATTAATAAGCGACTCAGCTCCTCGGATCTCGAAATCACCGTCCCTGCGTCCTGATAATTCGAGTCGGAAGGTCGCCCGACGGTCTCTATCCTACGTGTTCGAATCTGTCAAAACGTGATCCGTCATTTTTTGGAAAATACCTTGAAACTACTTCCAAAGTATACCTTTGCTCATCTATTAATGTTCGCTCGAAACATTGCCAAATTAACCTCTTAGTATACATCTCTTATATTATCGAGTGATTGGCGTTTCAGGAATAGATCGAAAAAGCCTTCCTTGTCAGTCAAAATAAAAAGAAGGGAGAAAGGTCGGTCTCTATCCATCTCTCTCTCTTTCGAGATCCGCGGGACCCTCAAGAGATGCGAATTATCCCGACAAGATTCTCATATCGCAAAAACGAAATCGCAATTTACGCGGAAATCTCACATACGACGAGATAATGCGATCGTCATTGATCAGAGAGCCAAGAGCGATTCGTCGACAGTTCAGTCGCGCGGGAAAGATTATATATTTGATTAAATTTTCTGCTCTCCGCTGCGCTTACAGGATTCTTTCTCCTCCTTTTGAGAGAGTAAATTTAATTACGCGTTACGTTCCATTCTAGCAAAGCTCTCTCTCGTAGTCGTTAGCAGGAGGCGGGCGGGAGAGAAGCCAAAGGTGAATCTCAGATATGTGAAAATACCGTGAATCTTGCGAGCCATTGTTATTATGCGGAAATCAAAATAGAGGATGCGCAGAACGCGCAAGTGTAGCAGAGAGAACTATCGGACAGTCTCCATATTGTACCATAGATACATAAGATAGACTACATGCCACATTCTTCTTTATGGCAGAATGAAGAGAAAAGCGAAACATCAGTAAATTTCTATTCTTTGTTGCGCATAATATCCGGCAAATGATAATAACCTAAATGTATCATAGAATGTCGCACATAATTATCTTGTTAAAAAAGTGGAATGTGATGAATTTTGTTTTTCCTTCTTTGTTTATAATTCTTTTTTATAATTTCTCAAATCTTATAATATATTTCTTATAATTCTATAGAATACTGAAATTTGATAACAACTGACAGAAGAAAATTCTGAAGACAAAGATTTAAAGAGAACGAAATGTATGGGATTTCTTAGACCCCACCTTTCTGTGATAACGGGTTATGTAAATTCTATATTTTCTTTCAAGCACACATTTTTATTTAATTAAACATAAGTATCTTTAATTAAACATAAGTGACTTTTGTTCAAATAATGAAATAATTTAATCATGAATATATGTTCTTGGACAAGAGTCTGTGTGTCTTCACGATAGTCGTTGACAAACGACTGCGCAGATACAAAAAAAATTACCCTGTTTGCCTCTCTCTTCGTTTTACCAAAGACATGTATATTGAGACTACATTATGTGTGTAGTATGTATACTTGCGATATAATAGATTATCCGCTATTTTTTATTAGTATTGGAACATATTATCCTGTCTTGTGTGAGAATTTATTTTCTAACAGGAGAGTTCTCCCACTGGACAAGACGAATGCGTTCCAAAATTCACATCAAAATAGCGGACAATTTATCTGGTCGCGAGTATGTACTCACAAAGCAACAGTATGACTTGTTGTGCGAAAATCGACCTTGCGACGTGAAGTCAAACGTACAATAGATCGGATGTGCATTGTCCCGAAAAAAATGTACCAAAAAAAATGTAAAATTTAGAGAGTGGACAATTTTCTGAAAAGTCACAATATCGAAATTTGAATACCAAGACAATCTGCCGCAATACAATTTAACCGAAGTATTGAAAGCAAAATTTTCCAAAATATAGAAATGCAATTTGCTGAAATTTACCGAAATATTGAAAAATTTCACTATTTCATAATTTTACAATTCCACTGAAACATTAGTCTCAAAAATTATATGCTTCTAATATTTCAATACAATTGTAACTCGAGAAATTGTCTCGGTATTAGAATCTTGATATCGTGATTTTTTTAGAAATTGCCGCTATTCCTCAATTTTGAGACTTTGATTTTGCGAAGCATTCCACCTACGTTGGGACTGACGCAAACGCATTGCGTCACGCATGAACCCCTTTAATCTAACGAAGAACATCGTCTTCCACTTTATTACAACATCCGTGTTGTACGTACGAGAAATCCGTTATTTATAACGTATCCCTCTTGTTTTTATCGCGTGGATTTAGATAACTACTTAATCACTCGTGATTGATCACTCGTAAACTGCTTAATCGCTTAAGATTAATCGCACGACGAATCGTTCGTTAAGTCGCACGCGCGCGCGCGATATGTATGAGATGAACAAAACGTAATGTAACATAACGTAATGTGATGTGACGTGACATGACGATGTCGCGCAAGTCTTATCACGCGAAGAGTCGAAAAGTTACGGGGATTCCGGAAATCAGTCACCCGCATTCCCGCGGAATCTCAGTCATCAATCACGCGTTGCTTTACACAAGTAGAGGAATCAAAAGAGCCTCTTGTGTATAGCTCGTCAGTGATCAATCATCAATACACGTAGCTTATTGATAACCGAAGAAAGAACAAAAAGAAGAAAAGAGATCATTATAACGCGATGAAGCGTACGCGGGGATAGTAATATATTTGAAGCAGACGTGCATTGTTCTGAAAAAGCGTACCAAAATTTAAAAGGTAGCATAATTTCCTGCAAAGTCAAATATTGAAATATGTATACCGAGAAACAATCTCTGGAAATATTACTTTATTAAAATATTTGGATTACGTCGTTATGTAATCGGGTGCATTAGTACAAAGAAAGATTGATTCAATTAACGTGGCAATGCCATAACTGAACGTGTTTTGGTTAGAGAAAAGCAAAGTTTTGATTCATAAGAAACAGAAATTTCCTTTTGTTCAAGTATAGCATCAATTTACAGAAAAAAAAGATTGACTGAACAATGAACGAACAAAATGTGTTTTGAAAGAAACAGAATTTCTCATTTTTAGAACAGAATTTGTAAGAACAGAGATTTTTTTTTTCAAACTCTCTGATATTAACTACTAACACAATACGTCTGTACCAACCAAGATCTATCAAAGCAGGTCCGAAGAGACAAACATGTATTTCATATTTATTGTTGACTTGTGGTTTCATCTATACTGTAGTATTTGTTTACACCACAGTACACGTTAACATATCTGTTATTATATATGAAACGATATATTCTGCTATATATATATATATATATATATATATATATATATATATATATATATATATATATATATAATAAATGATAGGTTAACGTGTACTGTGATATAATAAATAAGTACTATAGGAAAGATGACACCACTAGTCAGCAATAAATAAACAATACGTGTTTATTTTTTCGGATCTGCCTTGGTAGACCTTGGTTGATACAGGCGTATTGTCGCAAGAATAGAGATTGTCCAATTCTTTGAACAGAATTTCTGATTTTTAGAATCAAATTTGGTTCATAAGAATAAAAAATCTGTTTTGGATCAAAAACTCTGAACTAGAAATTCTAAGTCAAAATTCTGAAGGAAATCAAATTTTTGGTTGCTAAAACCAAATTCGGTAAAATTATAAGCCAGATATCCTGAAGAAAACAGAATTTCTGATTTTTTTAAACAAATTTGGAAATTATAAACTAGAAATTGTTTCCTTTAACTAAAACGCGTTTCATTGGTTCATTGTCAAATTAACTAATCTTTTTTCCCCGTGTATCTGTTTACTTGAGTCATACAACAAGACTGTATCCAAATTGATAAATATTAATATATCTGTATACTATTTTCGGACTAACAGTTTCTTCTCAAGCAACTGTATACTTCAAGAAAATTGTATTTTGAGATGCTGTATCGGTATTCAGATATCTTAACTTTTCTGTAAATTTCAATTGTTGAATATTGAAATTTTGATTTTTTAGAATAATGCATGTCCCTCGATTTGAGGATTCGCGAAATTATGAGAACACTCTCACGTATTTCTCATTAATCGCAACAAAAGATACGCGCGCGCGCGTATAACGCATCGATTATGGTGTCAATGTGTATTTTGTTCGCTTCGTCGAGGGAAGAGAGGAAAATCGCAGCGCTCCCAGTATATATTCATTGCGATCTCCACTAGACGCTTCATACATTTTAAAATGCTTAAAGAATAGTCATGGTTGATCCATATATGGCGCTTCAAAGTATTTATAGTGTCTAATGGACCTCACTGTTTCACGATTGACACGCAAATATTAACCAATAACAGTATAGAACTAAAAAAAAAGTTTGATTGAATCAACCAAATGCCTAGTAAAATATGAACAAACCAAAAATTCCAGTTGATGTTACCAAAATTCTGTTCAGGACTACGTTCCAAAACCTTATTTGGCAGGTAGAATAACATTCAATTAACCAATCATGAAAAAGAAGTCTTAGTTCTTTTTGTTCTGATTGCTCGATTGAATGCTACACGTCGGGTGGAGTCTTGCAAACGCAGCTTAGATTAACAAGATTTCTGATAACTTGAACAGAGTCCTAATAACTTCAATCTGAATTCTCTTACTTGTTCATATTTTTCTTCACCAGAAATTTGGTTAACCTAATCAAACATTTTCTCCATGCAGACCACCGAGGTGGATTTGCCTCCTGAGGATTTTAGGTAATTTCGAACAATTTCCTCCCCTGAGAACAAACTCTCGAATAAGGAGACCATGTAAGGAGGACTTAAGGGAGTCCTTGAGTTTTTTATGCAGTCCGGAGTCACGAAATGCCGAGGTTAGGTCTTCCCGAAAGCTTCTGGACGGTTAGACTACAATTCGATATCACGAGACACCCTCGAAACTACCGCGAGAACCTCGCGAAACTTTACTCCAATTCAACGTTGCGGAAGAACTTCGAATCCGCGATTGTTATTTCGCCTATTATTACTTTTGGCTCTTTAAACTCTTTTGAGTCGTGCAAAATATAGCCATTACGCGCCGTCATCAGTCGACCTCAACGGCGACCCTAACTAAAGTTCGCGAGCCCGCGAGTCCCCGGAGATTCGGTCGGTGATGCTTGGTTATCGCACGGCCAAGTGTTATTCCACAAATCGCGGGATCGACAGGCTCACCCGTGGTGTGTCGAGCATAGCTCAACGGGACACGAGAAACTGAACTACCACCTCCGAAATTCGACGGCAAACAACTGCGCGATCGATCGCTTCCAGTATCCTTGCCACGTCAGCGGCGAGTCGGATTGTCCTCGGATGAGATCGCACGAGAGATCATCAAGTAAAACTTGTATTCGAATCAAGTACTTGTAGAACGAGAGAAAGAGAAAGAAAAGGAGAGAGAGGAAGAGAGAGAAAAACGGATAAAAAATTCGAGGACGGACAAACAGAACGTAGAGGAGGATTCGTCGAGGTGTCCCGATTTGCTTAAACATATGTCTCGTCCTGCGACACGGCGCGAAAAAGTCTGCCGCATTCACCTGAGTCAAGGTTCAAATCTTAAGCAGAGTATTGTAGAGGAATATCCACTTCCCGGTGTCGGTCGTGTGAACGAGCTTGTAGCGCCGGCTGGTCATCTTCTCGATGAAGCTCTTTGTCTCTGTGTCGCTGTGATGGGGGCTCCAGCGTATTGACAGGACCGATATTCTTATGATGTCCCAGGGGATGGTGTCGAGCACCTGCGGTAATTTTCAGTCGCTCTTACGACAAGCTGCGGCCGCTTGTTACCGGATATTTTTATAACGCTCGCGATCGATCAGCGTTGCATTTTCAAGATATGCTTTTCGAGCGGAATTGTTGTTTTACGGCCGCACGTTACAAGCGGCATTTAGCTCAATATATTTGGTGAGCGCATAACAAATTTAAAAACCCAGAACTGTCGTCGTGAAATCGTTCCCTCCCGAATAACAGTCGAAACGCGTGCGAACGAAATATATGCGATAAAATATACAAATCAATCTGCAAGGAAAATAAATAAGAAACAATTCGATATTCATGTTGCGCTCCTACGAAAAGTGAGTGATATTCCGTGAAATTCACAATTCATATGGAAAAGCGCGGATGCGTTCGATACATCACTCAAAGACTGCGGAATTATTCAGTGTTTACAATTATTACCTGGCCATCAGGAGCGTCGGGACTGTCCAGACTCAGATAATCCAGCGTCGTGGCGTTGTACGCCAACAACACACTGTACAAGGGGAAACACTTGAGTCTGGTAGTAGGTAAGCTGTCGTCCGACGGCACGAGACTGTTAGGACCGTCGCCCAACTTCGTCACCTGGACCTCCGACTCCTGATGATATTTGATCTGCAATTAAAGAAAAGCTTTCTTTTACTTCTTCCTTGATTTCATCCCATCGACATTTTATGATAATTTATATTTAGACGTTCTAGACGTGAGAACTCCAGGGCAGTATAAATTAATATATTATGAGCATAATCCGCAAAAATATCGTCGAAACTTTAAATTGGCACTATCAGTTTCTGTTCAATCATTGAGTTCAAGCAGCGGATAGCGCGATTTAAGAAAAGGACCGCTACTAAAACCATAATTCTTTGTATTTTCAATTTTTATAACTTATATTTAAAAAACAATGAATTAATCAATTAAAGAAAAGCTTTCTTTTACTTCTTCCTTGATTTCATCCCATCGACATTTTATGATAATTTATATTTAGACGTTCTAGACGTGAGAACTCCAGGGCAGTATAAATTAATATATTATGAGCATAATCCGCAAAAATATCGTCGAAACTTTAAATTGGCACTATCAGTTTCTGTTCAATCATTGAGTTCAAGCAGCGGATAGCGCGATTTAAGAAAAGGACCGCTACTAAAACCATAATTCTTTGTATTTTCAATTTTTATAACTTATATTTAAAAAACAATGAATTAATCAATTAAAGAAAAGCTTTCTTTTACTTCTTCCTTGATTTCATCCCATCGACATTTTATGATAATTTATATTTAGACGTTCTAGACGTGAGAACTCCAGGCAACACCGGGCAGTATAAATTAATATATTATGAGCATAATCCACAAAAATATCGTCGAAACTTTAAATTGGCACTATCAGTTTCTGTTCAATCATTGAGTTCAAGCAGCGAATAGCGCGATTTAAGAAAAGGA